AAAATGAGAATTAGAAATGAAGCTAATCTAAAATGACGAGTGTTGTGACAGATAAAGGAGGATGTAGCTCCCTGTTGCAGAGAATTGTGGGAATGTTAGCCCTTTTTGTGTGGTGACTCTCCCAGACCTTGGAGGGTGACTGAAGGTTAGCAGCGAGGGGCCGGGCCACAGCTGGCTGTCACCTCGGATACGGTCATCTCTGCCCCTGCAACCACTACATATCTGTTGCCATGGAAACGAGTGGTGCAAGGCCTAGTTTGCGTGCCGTGTGTGATGTAATGTCTGAAGTCACATGGCTGCTTTCTGTTTCTGTTGATGGCTGCTGCTGGATTCTGGGAGGAGGTGGATGAGGGGGGGGGGGGGGTAATGCCAGGGGGGGGGGGGGGGAAGTCATTGTAAGGCTGATGAAATTCCCCCTAGATCCAGAGCTGGAAATCATGTTATGATTAAAGCCATGGTTCCTGGAAGTCGTGATCCCTGTGTAGAAACTGCAATTTGTGCATTTTCCCATTTCTTTGCTCCTGGTCAGTGGATGTTGATAACCTGGACCGTTCAGAGTTTTTTCCTCTTTATTACATCATGAGATCCAAGATCACTGCTCGCCCTAGTCATTGTTGCATCTCAAATATTACCATTACAAGCTAAAACAAAATCCATAAATATCTGGATAAAAACATATTTTAACCACTGCACAATATTATTGCAACTTTTATTTCCTAATCCAAACAAATATGGATGACAGGAATCACATACCCCCATGCAAAACTTTCACAATGTATTATTCATGTCCGGTATTGGATTATTTGGATATTTCCTGGCCATTCGGAACAAAAACTAAGAAAAAGTTGGATTTTAAAGAAATAGGTCAAAAGTATTTTTTTATGGTACAAAAGATTCCGTCTGAGACAAATACTGTATTTTTATTTGAATAATTCACCTTTTGCAGAGCACCACGTGATGTCGTCTTTCAAGAGGAACCCTCTGGAGCAGGCTTTCCGCCGGCCCAACGCCAACATCACCTCCAACTACCTGATGAACCAGTACTGGATCCTGGTCAGCCACAAGTTCCCCGCCCTCATCTACGACTTCGTGCTGCGCCTCTCTGGACAGAAGCCGCAGTAAGACTCGCCACAATCTGTCATACTTGAAATCTAAAGAGAAGTTCAAGTGTGTAGTGACATTTTACCCCTTCTCATGATTCAGGATGATGCGCATCTTCAACCGTCTGCACAAAGCCATCGGCCTGCTGGAGTACTTCAGCAGTCAGGACTGGGAGTGGAACTCGGAGAACATGAGCATGCTGATGAGCCAGCTCACCCCAGAGGACAGGAGGGTATGCTTATCCACAAACACACTACCACTTTGGGCCAAATAATTTACCTCCTGAGCTTATTGAGGAACCAGATTGCTTGATCCAGTCTGAATATGTATATTTACTTCATCTAACGCCACTTGAAGTTGTTATTAACCTCCTCCTACCCATTGAATGCAGGTTACAACTTAGTGAAAGAGATACAGTGAAAGGAAATTAGTTACTAAACATATATTTTACCACATTTCAGAGGGTATTATGGTACTTTAAAATGTATTACATTTCTAGTTATTTAGCAAATTAAGGTATTCAGGCAGAGCGTGAATACTTGCTATAGATAGAACTACCTAGGCGTACATAAAGTAGTTAAAACTGGCTCCACAATTACACAATACAATATTGTGTATATCATATAGGTTAATGCCTTAGTCATAAGAATTTAATAACATAGATTTAACTAAACAGAATTCTGGGCCATTGTCCAAAAGACAAGTTTTACTTATGAGATAATGCTAAACTTTTATTTACCTATTTTCATAGTGTGGTATTGCTACTTTCAAGTAAATTATGTTCTTGCCCCCTATAAACAGATTTATGCATGATTTATTTAACCTTATTATGATTAAGAGAAAAAGCCATTTAGGGAATATTCCATCTGCTCTTATTTGAATGGTATTATTGGGTCTATTGCTCCATCTAGTGAGGGATAGTGGGATTTCATTTTAAAGTTCAATTACAAATGACACAGTATCTTTGGTCTTGCCTTTGTCTCAGGACTTCTTAAACTTCTGTTCTATCTTGCAGACATTTAACTTTGATGTGCGGCAGCTGAACTGGCCTGAGTACATCGAGAATTACTGCATCGGCACCAAGAAGTACGTCCTGAATGAAGACATGTCTGACATTCCTGCTGCCAGGCAGCATCTGAGGAAGTAAGTCAACAAGACAATGCAACAGAAATAAAACAGGACAAGAAGCCTGTTATAGCAAGTGTGCCACTAACATCAGAAACAAAAATAAATATAAGATCTAGACATTTTTCATCAACATTTTTCCTCTCTCTTTCCCAGACTGAGGAACATCCGCTACACCTTCAACACCCTGTTGGTGGTTTTCATCTGGAGAGTTTTTATCGCCCGTTCCCAGATGGCCAGAAACATCTGGTACTTTGTGGTCAGCCTCTGTTTCAAGTTCCTGTCTTACTTCCGCGCATCCAGCACCATAACCAAGTGAGTGTTCCTCATCTCTTCAAGGCAGAGACGGCCGCCCTGGCCTTTAGCTGTCAGCAGGATGCAACATTTGAGACTCCGACCGTCCGTCAAGGACACTCTGAATCCTCCTTTGTGTGTGGATCAGCTGGGGGCTCTCTACAGGTGGGAGGCTGCAGTCGTATGAAGCACTCTAAGGAGAGAAAAGAGGTCTACTAGCCATGAATAATTTGTCTCGTTTGGAAATCTATCATCAGTACCTGCACCGTTCACTCACCAGAATCCGTCCCAAAAAGTATTCATCTTGTTCCTACAGTTTCCTTCTCAACGTGAACACCAATTATATATGCAACAATAAGTCTTTTGTGTGCCGTCCATTTTCTTTTCCACATCGTTGTTTCCATCCACTTGAATCTAGCTTCATTGCCTTGCCTTATTATTATTTGTTCATACTTGAAATATGGCAGAGCCTCACTGGAGGATGATTTCTCTAAGATTTGTTTGGTTCTCTGCAGTTTAACTGTGGGGAAATCCAATTCCTCTCTTTACTACGCAAGTGATTTTGATCTCTATCTTACATTATGTGTATCTACTGCCTTTCTAAGATTACACCTTAAAAACTAACTGGTTATCCATCTCAAGTCTCTAAACTGAGACAAGTATTACATCTAAATTCCGACTATACAGTTCAAGACAACAGTATCATTAAATAAACCAAAAAATATATATCTGTCTCCATTATTTACTATCACGAAGATAATGTTCATATGTCTTTGAACATAAACCATGTTTGTTTGAATGCTCATCTGTTTGTACAGCAGTTTGTACTGAAACTAAGTTTACTACTTTTACATCTTTATACTTGAGTCAAAGTCTGATATATGTGGTAGACCTTGGCAGTGTAATATATATAAATAAGAGTACATCAGAGTTGAGTTTATTTGTTTAGCTCTTTACAGGTGGAAAAACATTTGAATTAAAATTAAGTTATAGTAGTTAGCAATTCCAAATAAAATTCTGAAAGACATAATGATGATATAGAAGAACCAAAATTAAGAAGTCCAAGGAATGGGTCCAGTACAATATCAGTGATTTACATGTCCGAGATTGTGGGTTAGAGGACCAAGCTTAGAGCAGGCAACTTAGCGGAGTAGAGAGTGGGGTCATTTGATCAAAATGGAGACCTAACCCCAAGTTGTGCCGCCTGTAAATTAGCTTTACATTTGAGTCACAGCGTTTATTTCTCTTTCAACTAATTACAGAGCTGTTGAAAAACAGAGTTTTATAAAAAAAAACATTGCAGGGTATTTATTTATTAGAGAAATGTCCTGATCTGTGATGCTTTTACATGAGGCACAAGCTGGTGTTGTACCTTAGGTAACAGCCAAACAAAATGTATATGCAATGTTAAGATAAGGAAACTTTTGACTGAAGATTTGTTTTAGTTCTTGAGGCAGGCCTCTTGTTACTGAAAAGGTAATTAGGTCTGTTAAATATATCAAAGAAAGATCGTACTTTTAGAAAACTGCTGCTTTAAACACCTACTGCAGCAACTTTATTTGTGTAAGAAAAGTAAGATATGTTCTGCTTTTGAACAGCTAGTGAACAGGACAGAGAATGGAAGCATTATTACGAGTTCTTGCAATACAGAGTTAAGTGTCATCTGCATAAGAGTTAGAATTCATGCTGAATATTCTGCCGAACAGAAGAAGTGAAAAGTAGTGGACTAAATATGGAGCCTTGAGGTACGCCATACCTACCCTGATGTGGACTACTATTTTAAGCAAGACAAATTGTGACCTATTTGTTAGTCTAGACCTAAATCACAAATGTACTAGGTTATAAACAAAGGATTTAAAATCCCTCATGGTGTTGAATCAATGACCCAAGTTTGGAAGACCTGTAAATAGTTGAAGTTCATTTTATTCTTTTAAACTACCAAACATTTTATTTGACTATTGATCTTTGCTTGGTGAGAGTCTTCACAGGATTCCACCACAGAGCTTCCTACAGAGTCTACCAAAAGTGTTAAATGTGACAGGCAAGTCCGTGTTTTACTAAACATGAGAAAACTATGTTGTTTTGTATGTGGCTTGACTCTTGACCGAATACAAATGCATAACAGTTACGAGCCTAAATGGGAGAAAAAGGGACACAACTTAATAAATGTTTATGCAAAGCCCATGTCTGTGGTGTATTCATGGTAACTGTACTCTGAAATTTAGACCGAGATAATCACCCAGAATGTCAGCAGTCATTTCAGTGGTATCATAACAGTTCTTACAATGTTGTTTTAAGGGTTGTGTTGCTCTCCTGTATGTGTTTTACAAAACAATGGGCTGACTTTGCAAATGCAGAGCTCTTTAACTGTATGGAACAAACAACAGAAATACATAACTAAATTGTTAACTGCATGATGATGTCATTTGAAAAAATGTTTGATCACCTTTATTCTGAAATGACTTTAACACAAGACCTCATTCTTTTGTAAATATGTAAACTTTAATGGACTGAATGGCAGCCAAACAATCAGCGTATATGATATTACAACACATGGACAGAAAGTCTACAACTTTTCTAAACAAACCCATCACAGGAAAGGAAGGTAATCGTGTTTTTAAAAGAAACACAAGTATGACTCATGCATTCACGGGAAATACATTTTCCTAAAGTGCAATTATCTTATGTAAACTTTACCATTTGTCAGTCAACAGCACAGATCATTTAGACTGTTTTGTAGAAAACACAATGATATGACATCGATGACGTTATTTAACAATGGCCTAAAGCCTGCTCACAGAGAAACAGTTACTCCTGGAGGACTGCTTCAGCCAACAAAGGAGTCTGGTGATTGTTAAGATTGTTCATCTCGTTGTGTAGCTGCACCTCCTAGAATAAGTTTCAGTACAGGTAAGTCTATCAGTAATGAAGATTGTTTATGTGGCAACATGTATTTTGTATTAAAGACTCACCTCTCTTCTGTAGACTCCAAGTTTGAGGCGACAGCAAATAACGTCAAAAAAGAGGCCAACAAGCCCATGAAGCATGCCTTTAGGAGAGAGGAACAGACAACGATAAATAGATCGATTCGGACACGTTTTAGGTCAACACAAGATTATCAATTATTTTCTATATGCAGCTGTTTTACTTTTAATTTAAAAGCTCCAGGATGATGTCCCATATATGACTTATGTTGCAGGCCTTCCTCCTATGTGACATTGTTGCTCTACATAAGCTCTAAGATGCTTATGATTTACATGAGAAAAAGTTTCTTGCAGGATGTTTCTAAAATATGTTTTTATCATCTGAAAACAGGTAAAAAAGGTTTTGGAAGTTGAAGATCTTAGTTTTGATCTGGATCATTTTGACATGACTGTAATAAAACATAAATGTTCTAACGGATAATATATGCACTTGTAAACCCACCTGAAAGAAAATATGAATGCTGTTAGTCCTATTTATCACATGTGGTTTCTTCAGCCTATTATGGCTTAAATTAGTATTACAATAACAAACTAAATGACCCTGACAAATAGAGCCCTGTTTTCATAGATTTATAAAACAAATAATAGGTCATTCAGAAATATAATTCTTTGCAAAACCTTTTTTCACTCGCTCTTAAGTCATAGAAACAGGAGAAATGGATGACAAGATGATGAATAAATGTGATTGCAGTTAAACAGACTTGCCTGTGGTGGAGAAAATACCCCCGATTATGCCGCACAGACGCACCAGGAACTGCCAGAGAGGCATGTGCTGCTCGCTGACCGTCACCATCAGAGAGCTGGTGTCGTACTTGATGAAGATGCCGGAGACACCGTGACTGCCCGTTGCGTGGTTTATCACCCGCTCCTTGGAAACAGATGGCATGATGGTTAGTGGTATCCTGAGTTTCCCTTTGTTTCTTCATCCTCTGTTCTATATGCTTCTTTGTAATGGGCTTTAATGACTCTTCACCCACCCGCTCAGTCACAGAGAACTGGTGTGTGTCGGCAGATATCTTGTATGTGTTCAGTCTGGTTGGAACCACTGTGATGAAATACTGGAACATCTGGTTATCTGCAGGAAACACGCCACCAGAAATAATGCATGAAAAAACCTCAATATTTAAAAAATGTCTATCAATTTCAAGAGGTAAAAAAAGGTTAGTTAAAGAGACTCATAATGAAACTTAATTATCTGATCAAAGTGCTTACAATAAAGGCAACCTCTTTCCAATAATCTACTAAGCAGTGATCCACCAAGGTGAGCAAAGGACCATTTGAGTTAACTCATGATCAGATAAATGTCTCAACGTGTCATTAATTTAGCAGGAAACGCCATCAAATGTTTTATCCTTTCCTACCTCTTGGTACATAACAGTAACTTACGGTTATAGGTGATTTTCTCTGTGCCGTCCAGAGGATTGATGATGCCCGGTATCTCCTCCCCGAAAGATAAATGGTCAATCCGATGGGAGAAGTTGTACGCTGTAATGCAAAGACGAGAGGAAGCTCAGGTTCAATCAAGGTGAGAATCACAAAAAAAGCTCAATTTGAACCTGGAAATAATGCACTCTGCACTGGATATAGTTGCTGTTTGTCTACACATCGTTCAATACAATTCCGAATAATAATAACATCTAAAAATGCACCATTTATTAGTATCAATGAAGGTCAAATTGTCTTGCATATTCTTTCAAATGAAATGCCCTGTGCCTGTGTGTCATCTCTACTTTCAAATGTAGTTTGGACCAAGAGTAGATTACTAAAACAATTGTACTGTTAAGAGAATGTAAAGAAAACATATGCAAGCATAATTAGAAAGAGTTACTCACTATCATGGCTGACAAAAGCTGCAATGTGGGCATGACCCTGTGGATGGTGAATGGGCCTGAAAAACACAAATTAGTATTAAAATGTCAACAAAAGCTTTATAATATAGCATAATATCTATGCCTGTTTTTCATAGCTCAGCAAATTCTACAGCTGGATCATGGTCAGAAATTAATGAACGTTCTCTAGTTTCATACTTTCCGACAGTTACGTGTAGGTTTCCTGCCACCTTGTTGACGTAGACATGCCCGTGTACCCTGCAAGCATTCAGTGGCTCTATAGAGGCATACTCCCTGTAGCAAAAACACACAATTATTCAGAACATAATTTGACACTTAAACGCACCAGATGACGTTGTGATGTAGTGTGGTATCATGGGAGTTTGGAGCAAAAGGGACCAATGTAATGTATGTCCCTAGGTCTAAGAATTGTTAAACACTTTTAGAATACCTTTAATTGCTTATCAGCCACACACCTAACAGGCTGCACAATATTTGCATATAGTATAAAACAAAAAAGAGCTTGTTTGCATGTGACTGACCGGGGGGGCAGGGCAGTGGGACCGCCTTTGAGGAGACTTTTGTAAAGGACTTCCTGAAGAGCATGTTCCTCTCTCAGCCTGTTCTGTATGAGAAGCAACGTCCTGAGGACAAACACAAGAGTGGCAACGTGTACACTGTCGGAATGAAAACTCAAACTACACTTCAACTAGATCTGAACTGTATATAACTATTCCAGTTTTTCTAGAAAGCTTTAAAAACATGTTCTTCTTTCTTTTTCAGTATGCATGCAAATGTATCACCTTAAATACACGTTTAAAATAACTGAAAATGAAATCAATGTATTGTTTTCAGACACAACAAGACTTTTATAACACTTCCTGTTCTCCCATTTCCCTGTCTGATGTCATGACAGCTTACCTTTGCCACATTCTCTGTTGTGGAGTCAGATCAAAAATAACCTGAACAAACACAAAGAATACACTTTGGAAAAGCCACATCTTAATAATGCTTCTGCAAAAAGAACAAACACAGAATTAAACTTGACCTCATGTTTGGAGACATGCTTCACTCACAGGCTCGTACTGGAGGCCGTTGGATGTGATCATGGTCTCAGCCAGGTCCAGAATATCTGCTCCAACATCTGCAATCACGGTCATCAAATGCATGCATGACGTGACATATTTTCACCATTTATGATAAAGAGGGCGGGATACTCACGCTGGCATTTCATGGCAGCTGTGATGTCGATGTTTATTCTCAATTTACTGCGAATGATGAAAAAGAAGAGGGGGAATAATATTTGTCATGTCACTTTTTCATGTGATAATTTAACAGCTCTGGAAGTAAGCTTACCTGGAATAATCCTTATCAACTTCATATTCATACTTCATCCAAGTGTCTCTATAAACAAAGAACTCGAAGAAAGCCAGAAGAGCCATGGCACCGAAAGCAATCAGCGACACTGTGAGTGAGACGAAGAGGGTTACTGTTAATAGTGTCTGTATGGTGTTGTTGTCTTTCTGTTTTCAGAGGAGTGTCCACCTGTTCCTCCAGAGGCTGAGGTCTCCACGTGGCTTTCTGACACCTTTGGAAAGGCGTCCAGCTCTCTCACCAGGGTCAGGGCTTTCCTCTGAGACAGACGCCTCATCTTCAGGTTCAGGGATGCTCTCCACCTCCTGAATCATAACATCAGTGTTATATTCAGGAGCCCTGTCTGTAACCTTTTATAAAGGTTTAAATTATGATACAATTAACATGTTATTAAGTCATGCAAATTCAACCATGTATGTTCTTTCTACATTTGAATTGTTCGGTAACACCAATGCTTGTTACAGATGAAGACATTGAAACACACTGTTCTTTAGTAGCCATTCTGATTTATTATTAAACAATGTTTAAAATGTCCCTACAGAACGTAGGCCCTATTAATACACTTTACATCTGTATATAAGCACTGTAATACTAATGCAAAAAGATAGATACAAATGAATACAAATATTAGGTTTCTTTACAGTCAATATTCAGATCCATATGCTGCAAAACAGTATTAACAGTAGAGATGTTTCATGTCAATATATTACCATCATCATAAAGCAGCACAGCCTTCACAATAACATTCATTTATAATAACTCTTACCTCTTTAATCATCTACTCAGAGGTTAAATCGCACCACAGGATCCCTGGAAGCCATTATCATTCAGTTATGTTCGGCTGTATGACTCTGACTAATATTACATCCACGGTCTGCGCTCACGCGGACAGGTGGGCGGACCTGCGTCTTCCTTGTTTGGGTAAATATGACGTCGGTGAGTGCGAACCTGGTGCGAACTGAAGCATGCGCGCCCCGTGCACCGTGAACGCGCAGGTAGCAATGTCGCCGTTCTAACACGGGGTGTCGCTTTGATACTGAAACCTGAAACCGATGCCCTTTTTTGTAGAACTATGTGTAGTAGTTTGTTAACATAAACTGTTAAAATAAAGTACAATTACATATCTTGTAATATACTATTATTTAACACAATATGATACAGTATAATATACCAGATTTTTAGATTGCTAATACTCTTGCAGAGGTGGGAGAAGTAGCCTACTCGCTTGAGTACAAGAGTGTAGGAATACTCTGTTACAATAAAAGTCCTGCATTCAAAATGTTACTGAAGTAAAAGTACAAAGTATTGGCATCAAAATATACCAAAAAAATACCTCAAAATTGTACTTCAGTACAGTACTTGAGTAAATGTACTGATTTACTTTACACCACATACTCTAGTAGCCTACTTTTTCTTCTGAATACTTCTTTCACCAGTGCATTTAGCACAGACTCAATATCAAAATACTTTTGAGGATTGGTTAACTTTGCATTATTTTGCATTGTCTTTAGTTATTGTTTTCTCACTTTTCACTCTCTATATCTCAATTGTTCTACTCGCTGATATTTAGAGCATATGTTAAAATGGTTGTGTGTAAAGCAATGGTTTTATATCACTTGTGCTTTTGGACTATTTGCAAATACAACAACAGTTTATGTAATGCAGTATTTTTTTGGTAAGCACACCAGCTTTGAAACTACCTGAATAGTCAGTGAATAAAGTCAGACAAGAGGAGTGTTTGTTTTATATATGTATAGATTATCCTTGTTTGCAGAGAAACCCAAAGCCAACACAGCAGACTTTTGTTAATATGACTTCCAGCCTAGTTTACATATTTTAACATGGAATTAATTTAACTTTCTTTTTGTAAACTGTAGTGTAATGTGTATTCGACTTTGTCCTGTAGAAACAGACAGTACATGTTTGGAACTTTATCAGATAAATCAATCAAGTAGTGTAATAACATATGACTGTAAAGCACTGATAATGTTTTTAGGTGAAATAAACTGGCCAGTTCACAGTTAGTAATCACATTATGTCTATGGCCATTCATCTGCAGTGACACTAACAACATATGTCCTCCACTTATAAAGGACAATTGACTTCCAGGAGAAGTATTTACAGGCGTATGTTGGAACTGCACACCAGAAATGAAGTTGCTGCTCACACTGACAAGATAAACCCTTGTGAAGACAAGATAATGTTTGACTACGACAAACTGGTTCAGCATGCTATTATCACCATGAGGACAAAGGACATGTGTATGCCTCGCTGCAGGCTGAGGATGCATCAAAGAAACAACTCAGATGTGCAGATGAACTGTGTGAAGCACATGTGTGTACTCTGCAGTGAGTGTCTGCATGCACCAGGCCTGCTTGTCTATGCAGAACAGCACAGATGGGCGTGTTGGGGGATGGGTGCTGTCAGCTCACAGATCAAGCTGTGGGTCGGTGGTCCCATTGCTATTCAGCACACAAGCACGTAGGGCATGTCAGACACGCTCCATGGAGACATACCAGGGATGGATATTGTGTTTTGGTTATGCTATTTGGCAGTGTATTGGTTCAGAATTTTCACTTTTTTTCCCCGCTTTTTTTAAGATATATGAAAATGATAACTCTGCCACTTAGCAAATATTCTGCTGATATAGCAGTTTTGGATTGTTAAAAAAAATTATGATTTATTTCCCTTAACATCACATCACCTGCCTGATAAATCAGTGCTGATGCAGCACACTTTGCCAACAACATATATTTTATATATATTTTTGTTTCCTTAAAATGTTGGCATTGCTTTTATGGCTCAAATAATACTTTACAAACATACTTTTAAATGACTGTGCCTCAATGCAAATTCATATATGTCTATTATCAATAACAATTTAAGATAACACGTTTTGTAGGGTCCTCAAGGGTTGTAATGGTTAAATAAATACATCCACTGATTCTCAATGTATTTTTAAGTATACATTTTAAATCACATATTTCTCATTGAAATAATGATACACTATGTTGGTTTATAACATATATAATTGACCTACTGAGGCCTATGAGGCTCACCATTTTCCTTTCTGACAATCCTGAGATTTTGCTGAACATAAGTCTCTGATTGTAAAATTGACAACATGGTCAAAACAGTACCATTATGTCATTCCTTTGTTGGAAAAAGTGTGTCTATTGTTGGCGTGTGTCTACACACAACCAGATGAAAAAGAATAATTTGGAAAGTGACGTCAGAGGTGGGATTGCCTAGGAGGAGATCGTGTCCGTTCGGCTCTATTCGGGTGTTTCCGGACGCTGGATTAAATCCCCGCCCCACTTCATTCCTGCGTTGTTTGGGGACAGAAGGAAGATGGCGGCGGCCCCGCTGTACTGTGTCTGCCGGCAACCCTACGATGTAAGACGGTTTATGATCGAGTGTGACATCTGTAAAGACTGGTTTCACGGCAGGTATGTAGGCTACAGTGTATTTGATATGTGTGGCTCATTGGAAGTGATATACACTGATTGTTTATTGAAGAAAGGCGACGGCTCTCTGAGCGGTGTTGACTGGAAGCTAATTTAGCTGATAATGCTAGCGGTGGGCGACGGGGGTTTTAAACCGTCTATTGACACGACTTTACCAAAGAAACTGGGGTTTCGCTCTCTGAAATTGGCTTGAATTTAGTCAAATGTTCCGCCAATTATTACCCAGTCAAACAGTGTGTACGTAGTTTATGTAAGTATGTTGATAGTTAACATTATTGACTAAAATAAAGCCTTTTATAAAACAGTTGTTATCTGCCTGTATGCGACTCATGAGCATTGCATATCTGTGTCAGTCAAAGCTTCGCGGGGTCACCGTGGCTTAGAAAGGGTTGCCAGCTCCTTGGAGTCACTTCAGAGATACATTTATTATTGTTCAAACTGTGATTTACGGATTAAGACATCGTTAAACCAGTCGCTGTGTACCACATCGCATAGCCTACTGGCTAAACGTACTCAACATATTTACAACCATAGACAGTATTTGACTTTAAGCTACATTTCATAATCAACTTCCATTTGTTTGGACATAAGCTGTATGTTGTTGTTAAACCTGTTTTATCATTCAATGTTATACTTACTCTATTTAAGCTGTATATAACATTAAGCTTTTTTGTATTTTGATGTGTTTTGGGTGGTTTTATTTAATAAAAAGCGAAAGATCGAGAACAAGGAGCTTGTTATGGTCGGGCTTTTGATTGACAGCTTGAGACATTTAAATCCCCCTTTCAGGCAGAGCAGGCACATGGCAGGGACCCCTAGTGGTGACATGGGGGATTATTTAAAGGTACCCGGCAGACACATGTTTTTGGATTGCTTATGGCCGGGTTTTACCCTATATGTTCGTTATTAAATGCTCCCACATCTCTACAAATTACAATTGGACCAGTAGTATTATAGTTGCCTTTCATGATTCATGTTGCGCGTGGGTGGGTGGGCTGTCATGTGGGAAGGTTTTTCTGTTGTGCAATAAAGCATTTTTTTTGGTCCAAGCTGTATGGCACAATACAATGTCCTTTTAAGTAGTGTGTGCTCTAATAGTCCAGACCTTAAACTTTGAGTAAGACTACACTGTTAAAGGCTGTCAAAGTAACCCAGTTAGTTTGACAGCATAATTCAGTTTAAAAGGATGTACAGAAACACTTTTTTGGAAAAATATGAGAATGAAGAAAGGTGATTGAAAATGAGAAATGATTGTATATGTATGTATAAATGTAAATGTATGTACGAATAACTTGCATAATGATTTAAAGGACAATCATTGATCAAGTAAGGGGTGGGAATTAATAAGCATTTGCTTCCTCCTACTCCCTTACATATGATTTATTATTAATATGAAGACTTTTTTTTGTTGAATATACAAATATTACCATGAATGTGGATAAATACTGTATTATAACAATACGGTATTCTGTTTTTCACATTTGTTATTTTTTAATCTGTTCGAAATAAAAAAAAAAGACCTGGGTTAACCCCTTTTTATGAAGCGCTATAAAGCCTGCTGGTGTGTCTGTTAGCAAGGCAGGCAGTTTTTGTAGCTCACAGTCTGCTCTAATCCTTAGAGAAGGCAGATAATAAGATGTTGCCATAGAAGAACATGTATCAAACTTGCTGTCTGATTACATGTTGGTTTTTAGAGTCAGGTAATCAGAAAGACCTGACTTTAAAACAGTTTGAATGGGGTTTGCTGACTTAGACATAACTTAGACCTACCCCATTCTCAGTCCCTTGAATCAGCCTGTGTGGGTGCATCTCCATGGAAACTGCTTATGAATACAATAATCTGTTTTTGCTCGTGTTGAAATGACGGAAGCCATTGCGTAACCACATGGAGCCCACTGCCAGAAAACTTGCCGGCCAGAATTTGCGGTGTATCGGAGCCAAAAAATGTGCCAGCAAGCAAAGGAACAAATGCTGGAGCTTCCCCCATTGGTGACTAATAAGCAGATAGACACACACACATGGAGCGGATCTCCAAAACCAGCCACATTGCCTGCCTCTTTCCCACGAGGCTGGCCAGAAGGAAAAGGGATATTCTCTGGCTGTGGATGATGGCACGCCGATGAAGTGGAGAGGCACTCAACCTCCCGGTGTCTGGTTGTCAGTTTGTGGGGGACTTTGTCTCACTGCCTGTGTTTCTGGAGAGTGTCCTGTATTCCACCTCAACCTCAGGACACAATACAGCCTGGTCCTTTAACCGGTTGGGCAGTGTTATCACAACACTGTGGGGCTTATCTGTGTCGGAGTAGTGATCAGTGCGGTGAACTGGAAAGCAAAAGGATCATATATTTGTCCAGACAAGATGCTCTTAATTGCTTTTCTATGTCATCTCTTGTATTGACACACACCCTTAGTCTAGGCTCGTATTACAATAGTTATAGATATGTTTCCCTCAGGGATCTGCAAACAAGATTTGTAGTTGTTGATGTTGTGATGCAACAATCCAAGTTTTTTTCAATACTGAGTAGAAGCTGAGTATTTGCTAATATTGAGGGCTGATCTCTCCCCAACATTTAAAAAAAGCTGTATATCTAACTTAGGGCCCTTTATATGAAAAATATTTGCTGTACGGTTGCTGAATAATCTTTCTGTTTATCGTTAATTATTAGAAGCAATAAAACTAGCCACCATTTCAAAAATAAAATGATATAAGATATCAAAAATAAACCTACGGTGTAAAGGGAATATTTTGTGGGTTTTTCTTTTATCCCCACATCTTTTTGCTGCCCACATTTGCTTTGGTAGCCCTTCCCTGGAGGACTCCTTTAGTCACCAAAACAAACAACTAGAGCCTGTGGTTTGGATTACAAATGTTAGTTTGAACCCTGTTATTTACCATTTAGAGCCTCCCCTAATTACAAGACCTGCTTCTCCAAATGGACCGTTTCCAAGATGCCAATTTACGTCAGCACTGTGCATGTTGACGCACTGGAAATCCTCACTGGGTCACGTCAGATCACAGGGTTTACCCCGGCGTAGGTGTCAGGCACTCCAGTCAGACCGTCTGGTTAGGTACGGGCGGTGGGGGGGAGCTGATGATGGACCTGCGGGGCTCAACGGGACAGAGGGGATGATTGATGGGCGCTCCAGCCAGCCAAGTTCAATGCACGATCCGTCAGTGTCGCACAGATTGTGAGCACGCTAACGAGAGATGCATAGCCACTCCAGAGTGCATTTGTAATGTTTACGCTAAGTGGATGGATGCATGGATGAGTCGAAGGATCTTATTTTTGACCAACGTTGTCCATGAAAGAAAAATGTTTCTGATCATTTGTTTAGATTTCTGATGAGTTAACGGCAGCCTCACAGCTCCTGTTCAAAGCTGTGTTAACATTCATTAGCAAGGCTTGCTGGTTCCCCGCCCTGGGGTAACAGCATTACCTCCAGCTTGATCAATGTTGATTAGGGGGCAACAGCCTCTTGTATTGATCTGCACTCAGATTCAATGAGGGTGTTATACATAAAGGACTTGAAGTTGTTGTGCCTTACAATAGAAATCTTGATTCAGAAATATCACTTTGATCCATGGAAGTAAAGTAGCAGTGTCTCTTATTGAATCTAAATCCATAGGAAACTGTACATTCCTTCTAATATTCAATATGGGTCAGAATGCAAGTTTATTTATTGGTGATCTTATGTTTCAAACAACAAGCTCAAGGTTTTTGATCATATAAAAATGCTTACTGACGAGCATAGAGAGAGGATTGCATTCACATACCAGTCCAGGTGAGTTCAGCCTGAGTTTGTTGCTTGATGTTTTTCCGCAGCAGACGCTCCACAGACTGAGGACTTTGTAGATTTTACAGGGGCACCGAGAGCGTTAAGATGACCATGTTGAAGGCATGTGTGAAAGTAGAGCCCCAGTGCTTGGAGCCTTGAGGCAACTCAACCTGCTGCACCAAAAACAATGAAGTTGTTCAAACCCCCTGACGCCCCATAAACAACAAAGTGATCCTCTTTTGTTGTTTACCAGCAGACTACAGAGAGGTCTCTTTCAAGCTGTAACCGCTGCCGGGTCGCTTTGACGCAGCTAGCTGAAAGGATTGAACCAGTGAGGCCCAAATGACAGATCCCTTTCCATCTGTCAGGGCTGAGTGGCTCTTACCGCTGTCCAAATGCAGCACTGTTTATGTAAGCTTTGGTTGAGGACTAGGGCCGGAAGAGTCAGGTGCTCCTGTGGGGTCAATAAAGACAGCCAGGTGTCTGTAACTGCCCTCATCTCCTCTATCTTCATCTCCACCTCCCATCCATTAGGGATCTGCCCGTTTCCTAATGTAGGCGTGTCGCTGCCCCGTGCAGAGCGGTTATTTAGAGCTGAAAATAATGGTGACGACCGCCTTCTGCCTTTGTGTTTCTGCACTGATCATGGAGGACAATGAACCCCTCGCAGTGCAGGCACTAATGAATAAGCCCTCTGTCACACAGGACGGAGGCCCTTGATGAGAGGAAGTGGAGGGAGAGGGGCTGTTGATGGCAGGGGTTTAAGCCAAGTACACACATCTCCTCTTATTCAGGAAGGGCCGTTGTGCTTGGTAATCTGCTGCAATGCTGTCACAGAATAACTCTCCAGTCTTGTTTTGATCTCTGAGGCATATTGGCTGTGCTCTGCGTCAACTATCACAATATGCTCTGTTGTTGTGAGACAATACATGATTACACTATCTTCTTAAGTAATACGATGACGTGAACTCGGTTTTCTCCAATCTGATCCCGGCTCTGATTCTTTCAGAGCAAAGAAGGTTCATGTTCGTGCAAGAAGTGTTTGCACACTTTGCAGTGATGATGCAATACATTATCAAGCCTGAGCAAGGCAGGAAATACTTTGCTCTTTCCTTTTCAGCTGAGTTTACTTCCCCCATTTGTTCCTTCTCTATCTAGAGCCCACACAGTTTCACCAGCTTCACTGTCTTGTGTATTAATCATTACAGGTGACACATAGGCTGAGTCAGGCTGGCGTATTGGCACAGTGCCCTGATTTCCCCGCTCTGGTATTACATAAAGGAAAGTACCGAGTGAGATGAGGACAGCGAGGTCACCTCGGTTAAGTTCACGCTGCTCTCACACGTTTAAAGCAACCCGGGCCAGCGGCAGAGTGCTGTGACTCATGCTTTCCCCCAGCCAACGGCCCCGCGTGAACCAAGATTCCTGACACATGAGCTCGGCTTAAAACTACAGCCAAGCAATGCAGTGTTATTGTTGGATCTCCACTCGCTCACGTGCAGGAGCAGGAATACTTCCAGGTTTTTGCCGTTTCCTCTTTTTATACATTTTTATAGCTTGTCAAAAGAAATGATGACATCAATTCAATATTCCATCAGAAAGTAAAGAAAGTTTGCACCAGGTTTAATGTGATAAACAGGAGAGGCAGCTCATGTTTAAGCCTGTTTGTGATCAGGGCCAGGATTCACACGCGCTCACCACTTCCTGAGGAGTTAATGGCCATCGCCTTTATTTCCTTTACAGTTTCCTGCAATTTCTCCTGGATCAAAGCTGAGAACAGGCTGCAGCTCCATTTCCCCTGCAGGCGCTCGCTTTTCCTAACAGACAATATATCAACTATAAATATGTACACTTATGTTTGTACACATCCACTTTTTCGCTACAGAAGCGATCAAATCTAAGCTTCACTGTCTCGATGAGGGTTAAAAAAACAGCAATGTTAGTTTGAAATAAGTGTGCTTGTAGTTTTGTTATAGTTGCATCGTGTTTTTTAGGGTCAGCCACCACAGTGCTAATGCTGCTTAGCAACATATGTCTTGATATTTAAAAAAAAAAGCAGTGGAAGCAAAATAATGACATTTGCCTCTGGCTTCCTATCAGATGTGTATCAGTCCTTTCTATTGTTACGATGTTTGCGTGCAGACATCGACACAGGAAGAGTGTCATCATTGGCTGTTTCCAGGTCAAGTGGGGACATGCGCTATGATATCATTCATTACCTTCAGATCCCAGAAATCATTTTCAAATGACAACCATAAGGACGGCCTGTTAAGTACAGAGGGCTCTTTTGTGTGTGGCCTCTCTCTCACAACACTTAACCATCAAATGAACTGCCACATGTTCAAGTCAAACAACGTGCAGTTTGTTTTCAAACTGAAAATAGCCATTGGTGAAATTGGTTGAGTTCCTGCTGCTCTGGAATGGAGCTCTGGTATGCAGCAGAGGAATGCATGTGTGTTGGTGCCTGTGGTTTGGCTGCTGCAGGACAGTCGGGGGTTACTAGTGACACTGTTGCTCTAAGAAAGGTATTATTGCGCAAACTGCAAAATACTTTATAAAGTCTTCAAAAAAATCTTCATTAATCTAGAAAATAATCTAAACATGAGTTTCATGATAATTGTTTGCTGCAGCCCAATTGTAAAACCCCAATGCTGTCACAACAATGTCTCCAATGAGGTAGGCATGAAGGATGGACCCTAACTTGTGTTTACACATGTTGTAAGAAGTGAGAACTTGTACTAACTGCATCTCCTCTCCATCTCCAGCTGTGTGCAGGTCGAAGAGCATCATGCTGTGGACATCGATGTTTACCACTGTCCCAACTGTGATGTGGAACACGGACCCTCCCTGAGTGAGTACTTCTATTTCTCATTAGTGGATATCAACCTTGCTGCTTCTCTCTGTCCCCGTATCTTATTCATCAAAACTGTTCTCCGATTCGCCTCCTTAGAGTTAAATGTCTTACCCTCGCTCCATTCAGATGTCCCCCTCCTGCCTGTGTTTTGTATGTTTGACCGGTCACAGGGGGAAAGGGCCGCTGTTAACTCTAGGCAAATGTATTTGGGGGGGAAGGGTGAACCTCCAAGAGCCCAGGGGGCAGACATTAACAGACTAATTAAATGGTGTTGTAAGCCCCTCATTTTGGTTGGCCAAGCCCCTCCATCGCCATCTCTTAGCCCAGGGATTGACTGGTGAATTATTGTACGTAAAAGAAGTGGTGGTGATGTGCGTAATTTGCCACTTTGTTAGGAGAACAAGCCTCAGAAGGGCAATGACATGAGGAAAGTAGAGCGAAACAACCCAATGAACCTTGGTTGTCTTTTTTATGTTGCAGTGAAAACGCGCAACAACTGCCACAGGCACGACTACACGGAGCCAAACGATGGGCTGAAGCCGGTGCAGGCTGGCACCCCAGTGTTCGTCAAGGAGCTGCAGACCAGGACCTTTGCCAGGTATGATGACGGACACATGTTTTATACCAATATTACAGCAGAACTCTTTTGTAAAAGTTTGGGTTGCTATTATTTTCGAAAATGTCGCCCTACTACGGCTTTTGGGACATAACTTTAAAGGCTTTGTTAGAAGTAGCTTTGTAGAATGTTCCTGAACTTCTTATGATGTTGTTTCAGTGGTGAGGAGATCATGATGCAGATGAAGGGCGAGCAGGTGACCACCCGCTACCTGGAGAGACACGGCTTCAGCTACCCCATCAAAGTCACAGAGATGGAGAGCCTGGGACTCAAACTACCACCCCCTACTTTCTCTGTCAAAGATGTGGAGCAGTATGTGGGTAAGGACACTTCATATGGCTTTGTTCTGCAGTGTAAGAGTTGCCATCATGTGTATGAAGCTTACATTAATGCACAAGTGTTTTGGGGAAGGATGATGTAATACACCGTAGCCTCAGTCTGTTTAAAAGCTAATGAAACCACCCAACACCAGCCTGCTAAGTGGCTAACGCTGAACAGGCGCCATCTGTGTGTCAATAAGAACAGGTTTCTAGGTTCATGGGGTTTCAACCCACTTATCAGGCATCGGGCGAGGGCTGACTGAGTTCTAAATGAGTGATGGCTTTCACTAGCCTCTCTATGACCACTACGCTTCCTCGTTGAAAGGGGCCTGCCACTTCCCAGCTCCTATTACAAGCCCATTACCAAGCCCACTGGTGTTTTTATCATTAAGTTCAGATTACAGACTCCCCCTTCTCACTTCATCTCTCTCCCCCATGCCCTATTGAGCATTAAGCCAAGGCACAGGTGTTGTGACGAGGGACTGAGTGTCACGTTTCTTACAGTTAAAAGACAATGGGACAACTGGAGTGATCGCTGATGTCTTCTGTGTGTCACGAGGGTCGTGTGGCCAACATGGTGTGTGGTCAATGATTAGGACAATGGTGGAACATTGAGGAAAGGCCCCAGAAAAGTCTTATCATGGATAAATTGCAAGTGTTATCACAAAAAAGGGTATGAGTACGGGTTACATTTCAGTAAATGTGGGTGGGCAGCAGAGCAAAACTGGACCTGTGTTACTTGACCTTACTTTCTCCTTCTCCACATTTAGTTTCTCAAATAAGATATGAAAAGCTGTACTCTTGACCAAATAATCTAAGGAAAGTTTTTGGCAAATAGTCCTGTTTAATTTGCCTGGAAAAACCTTTATAAAACGTTTAATAATGTATAGAAATGTAAAAATATAACAGAAACTAAACATACAGTAACATGCAGCACTAGACAAAGTAAAAGAGCCCCATCCGTGACCTCAGTGCTCCGTACATTACACCCCAAATCAGTCAATTCATATTCACTATGCAAACTTTAGCAGGACAAGTCAAAACCTTACTTTATGAAATGCATTAAAGCAGCGATGTATAACTTGTCAGTGATCCTACATAAATCTAAACTCTGCCCGGACAGATCAAATGTAGCTCAAGGCAAAACCAATTTCCACAGTCTGCAGCTGACTTAACGTCCGTCCAGGGAAGAATAAGATCAGAGTGACTCTCTATAGAAACACTGGCTTCAAGCGTTTGGTCTGACCCCCGGGGGGCAGATACTCTCCTTCCATGCAGACGGTACACATCTGTGGGATCGTCAAACTACCTTTGAAGTAGCTGCTGGATAACGCTTAGAAAACAACATTTTGGACTATTCCCATAAGGTTGGCTTAGGAAACGCTGTGGGGAGGAATTACAGAGTAACGCTCGGAGGTCACAGATGGGGCCGTGATATAACACAATAATGTTGATCATGGAAAAAAAGAAGAAGAATAAACGGTGCAATGCGATATTAATAGTGAGCTTAAAACTGCAATGTAGAGTGAATACTTTTTGACCACATTGCTGTAAAAATAAAGTATTCAAGGAACAGTTCACCTACAAAGTTGCCCTCTGTGTATCAATTACTCAAGAAGAATTCAAAAACTGAGACGATTCTTGATCTTTACTTCTCCTCAGGAATATTCTCTGTTTTTTTTATTCGTCGTTCATCCTGTAGGGATGCATGAAAAAGTGTTCCTTAACAATTCAAGGTCACATTTGGTGAGTAATTGAAATACCAATTATTATTTTGTGGTTGTTGCAAAAAAACATATGAACTTGATTTCAAATAAGAAAAGAGTATGTAGTTCTGGCATGTTGAGTAGGATGTTTTTGAACCAATGAAAGACTCCTTAACATTACTGGGTATCATAACATATCATTGTGATGCAGCAGGTACAGCAAGTGTCGCTCAAGCTGGTTCAGGAAGGGTGTTGTTGGTTTTGTTTCGTCTGTGGCTGTTTGGTTTGTGAAGCTGGTGTCGAATTAGGCGTAGTGAGGTTTTCAGGCAGCTTTGTCTCTCGCTGTGTGACTGACTGCCTTTATTCCAGCTGTTCTGTCATCAGACGCTGGCCAGCTGGGCTTTCAGAGAGAGAGAGAGAGAGGTGTGTGTGTGTGTGTGTGTGTGTGTGTGTGTGTGTCATACGTGTCATACGTGTAAACACACCACATGCAGCCTTTCTAACATCTATACTCATGTTCCTCTCAATGCTTAATATATCCCACACACACAGGCATTGAATACATAGGCCCTCTCACCTCCACCCACTCCCACTCCTCCTCAGGGACTGGTGGTCCGGACAGATTGTTTTGCTGGCTTCCCTGTATAACCCCTCCCCACGCTGCCATATTGGTGCCAGTTTCCCCCAGGGCTCGATCTCTAAAAGCACACGGAGATGCCAGCAGGCCGCTGACCCCGTTGAACCCCACGCCCACTCAGCAGCCAATTAAAAAAAGTTGAAGATATTCAATGTCTGCAGGACTTCTCCATCTGATATTTTGTGGACTAAACAGAACATTTCCCCCATCTAGGTAGCAAAAAAATCATCGACGTGATAGATGTGGCACGACAGGCGGACAGCAAGATGAAGCTCAGCGAGTTTATCAAGTATTACTCCAACCCGTGTCGACCCAAAGTCCTCAACCTCATCAGCCTGGAGTTCTCTGACACCAAGTAAGATATGCTCAAATCTGTTCACATGTTGGCTAATGAAGAGCTTAGCACATATCCATCATAAACACTGGCAGTACAATTCCTCCTGTCACTCTTCAGGAAATACTTGTATAAATTAGCCATGGCTTTATATCTCATATTTTAATCTCATGGATAATTAATGAATTGAATCATACTAGTATATCATTCATGCCTCCATAGAGGGGCTGTCTACCTTAGGGCTGCACGATTTAATAAAATCTAAACAAACACAACAATTTGCTCTGATTATTTGACTGATGTTGCCATTGTGATATTGTTTCACCATAATGGAACATTGAGGGTCTGTCCTAAAGATGGATTTGATGTTAATTCTGTAGAATATTCTTTGTAGTTTGGGACTTCTCTGCAGCACAGCGATACTTCATTCAAATATGTTCACATTTAGCCTTTACCAAATATTGCGCCTACTGAGATTTTGAATTGCACTATTATAAAACTTGAATGTGTTGTGCAGATCTAGTCTGTCTAAAGCCAAATCCTTTGAATTTTGAATTTCTGTAGAGGTTGGATGTAGAAACCCAAAAAGGAGAAATCCTCTTGTTGTAATGTATCTCCGAATATTAAGACAGCCCTCCTGTCAGTTTTAGAACCGTTTGCTTTTGTTTCACTTTTAACTCCAACCATCTGCTCAGGATGTCGGAGTTGGTGGAGGTTCCCGACGTGGCTCAGAAGATGTCCTGGGTGGAGAACTACTGGCCCGACGATTCCTTCTTCCCCAAGCCCTTTGTCCAGAAGTACTGCCTCATGGGAGTCAAGGACAGCTACACAGATTTCCACATAGACTTTGGAGGCACCTCTGTCTGGTATCATGTTCTCTGGGTGAGTGTTTGCATGAAGAACACCCGAGTGTATGTCGAAATCAGACAAACATTTATGAAACATTCCACAAAAGCCAAATAAACTACCACTCCTCGCATCACATTTTAATCATCAAGCTGCTCTGGGGGCAGCACTGCTGTGCCATATGAAGATCTCATCGGCACTGTTCTATAAACTAAAGCTGACTTTACTTTCCCAGTTGTCTGTGGGTGTTTTTAACAGCGCCATCACCACGGCTGCCATGCTCAAACAACATCAAAGTGTGTCATTAACGTGTGGTGCCTACTGTTAACTCCTCTTCATCTGCTCTGCAGGGTGAGAAGATCTTCTACTTGATCAAGCCCACCCTCGCCAACCTTGCACTATACGAGGCATGGAGCTCCTCGCCCAATCAGAGCGAAGTGTTCTTTGGGGACAAAGTGGACAAGTGTTACAAGTGTGTCGTGTCCCAAGGAACCACCCTGCTCATCCCTACAGGTCGGTGCTTTTGTTTGTGCGTGTGCCAAGTTGATTTGAGTTTGTTTATGCAACACTGTTCATCATAAAGCTCTAGTTTTTGAAGGGTGTTGTAGTTTGGTTAATTCAGTGACTAACAGTAGGGAAACAGGCTTTGAATTCCTATGAATGTAGTAAAACAATAAGGCTGTCAATCAACCTAGTGTTATTAAATGATGACAACTTGATCCTGGTTTATTTGCATTGTACCTTTTTTAAACGAATGGTAATTCATGGCTTACATAAGACATAAAAGGCATTAAGAATTAAAAAAAACCCACACAATTATAAAGGATTTACAAGAGTAAAATAACAACACAAAGTAGTCTGTCATTAGTTTTGGTCACTGTGCCACAGTCTAACTAAGTTTTCCAGTCTGTCTAGTTGAACGTGTTGAATGCAGCACTGAGATCTAATCATAAGAAGACTCAAACTTTGCCACTTTTGTTCAAGTGAGCGTCCTTCAACCAGCTACGTAGCAACGGCAGGAACTGCTTCGATAGCGTTTTTGAGGAGCTTTTTTATTACAGATTTGAAACCATTGTTGCTTGCTTTAAAAGTAGCACAATCCATTATGTCAAACCTTGGAAAGTATCTAGAGACCCCTGCCCTAATGCCAAAGGAACTGGAAACTGAATATGTTTTGCCGTTTGATGTCTATGTCTGGACCGCTGCGTAAAAGGGACCGTGTTGAGGGTTTCTGCACCGTTACTTCTCCGCTGTTTTCTTGTCCCTCTTGTCTTTTTCTTTTCTTCGCTGGGGACTCATCAGCCACTAACCATTCATCCAAATAACTGTGCTCTCCAAATATATTAAAATGAATATTAAAATCCTCCATGTTGCTCTCAGACGGTAGAGAACGGAAAACTAAAGACAAGCATGCAGTTTGCTTTTCGGCCAAACTGTATACAGTTAAATCGACCGGACTTCTTTCTGCAGATGTGAGCGTCCTTAACAACGGTCAATAAATCCTTGACAGCGGTCTGTACTACTGGATTAACAACGTGTCACATGTTCTGAATTGACCAATCAGAATCGAGTATTCAACTAAACCATGTAATAAGTAATCCTAAAACACGGGGGGGGTCACCTTCCTATCACAGCCTAGAGACTATCAGCGGTTAACTTAACATTACTGATATTTAGCGTGATTATGTTTATAAAATAATGTAAGTGTGGAATACTCCTATAAACTTGGATGAGCTTTCAGGCACTTGGACACAGTTATCTGTGTTACTAATGTAATGTCATGGTTGTTTCCTGACCCTGTTGTCTGCCTTTATTTGTCTTTTCACATGCATTCATACGCTAAAATAATCATGCTTCCCATGGCTCCTGCCAGGAAAATACAAGCATCTTGAAGGTCCTCTGTCATTGCCAAGGGAAAATAACAGAGAAGGAGCAACAACCCAAACACTTCTTAATGATCATAATTGCAATGGAAAAATGAAGATAAACAGTGCTATAATGTAATACGATGATCACAGCTTCCCTCTGTACATGGCTTTTTTTACAATCCTTTAACTAGCATTGTGGAAGTAGAAGCTGTTTCAAAAACATGTGTGTGTTTCTGAATGTGACATGCTTCCATTCACCTAAGTGAAGCTAACGTCTCCAGTCACACAATGACTCATCCATCAGTCTCTCAATAGACCTTTTAAGCCGATGGAGATCCTTTGCTGTCCTCATGATCCCTGACAGACAAAGCTCAGTTCAGTCCGTCAACTGCTGGTCGTCCTCCATCATTCCTCCTGCCATGCTTTCTCTGCAGGCTGAGGCAGCATTGTAAAGGAGAGCTTTTGGCAGAGAGGGTGTGGAGAGGTGGGAATTAAGTTGGGGTCAGAGAGCACAGTAGGTCAGTTAAGCAGTGCATTATCAGGCCTGTCTATCAGCCTCACACCAACCCCCCTCAACTCTGCTTTCTCTCACTTTGTGTTGTTTAAAGAACACTGTTTATATTAACGGAGCACATTTTTTTAGGTCTTAGGATTTATTTTTAGGACATGAGTCTTTTGTATATGCTCAGGATGTGTTCATGCAGATCACTCTAAACCACATGTTTGTTCAAATGCCCGGTATGAAGGTGTTACTTGAGCTTTCCTCTCCTTAAGTTTGTTATTGTTTCAAGTCAGTCTGTTGGCAAGTTGTGTGAATGTCTGTGCTCTGGCGCCCTCTACAGGCTGGATCCATGCTGTGCTCACCTCTCAGGATTGCATGGCGTTCGGAGGGAACTTCCTTCACAACCTCAATATTGGCATGCAGCTCAGGTAAGATTGGCGTAACTGTTTATCTCATTTGAATCTATAAATAAAATGTGCTATCGTGTGCGTTACTTCATCACTTAACAATATTTTGAATCTGTTGGTTTGCAGGTGTTATGAAATGGAGCGTCGCCTGAAAACCCCAGACCTCTTTAAGTTTCCGTACTTCGAGGCCATCTGTTGGTATGTGGCCAAGAACCTCTTGGAAATGCTGAAAGGTGAGAATCAAATGTAAACATGCATTTAGAAGCAAATGGCTCAAAAGAGCACGCATGTTGAAATCAGTGCAACATATGTCTAAATGTTGGAATTATAAGTGCAATTATTTTTGATTTGTTAAAGACCCAATTCAGTTCTTGTGTGGTTTGATTGCCATTATAGCCTATGCATGCATACTCAGAATCTGCATGTGGATACTTTGTATAAGTATCTATGTTTCTCATTTCACAAAGAAACATTTAATACTGGAGTTCATATGAAAAACTCAAAATCACAAAATATGACGATGCATGGTTCTTATTGGACAGAGAGGATATGAGCATCAGCTGGTGCAACTACCCCAATATGGAATATTCTGCAGATTATTTTCTGGATGAATCGCATAACTGTTTGGTTTTTAAAATAAGATCCCACTCTCAAAGTCCAAGTTTACTACGTCTTTATAATATCATATTTTGTGAGTCCACAAAGATATTCTGTTTAATGAGATATAAAACAGAAGAAATCGCCATGTTTGCGAGGCTGAAAGGAAGATATTCTGAAGATTATCGACTTTGACGATAAATGAATTGTCAAATAAATTGGCAATTGGTCTAATCCAGTGATTCTCAAATGGGGGTACGCGGACCCCTAGGGGTACATTGGGGTACTGCAGGGGGTACTTGAGGTAAACAAAATAAAAAGGATAATTAAAAAAATACCATGCATGATTACAAAAATAATCTTAGTACAATAAGTTAAATAGAAAACACAATTTTATATAAAATATTCCTAGAACCACTAAGGGGGTACAAACATGTTACATTTGTGTATTGTATTTATAGTTTTTAATAATATATCATTTTGTTCATTGGTTTGTTAAACATATTCAATTGAAAAACTCCTTGGAGAAATCTTTTTTCTCATGCATAAAGATGAAAATATCCTTAGTTTGTTGTAATTCATACATTAAGGAGTTAATAAATCAAACACTGATGGAACATCACTATATTGTAATTATTTATATAGGCTTTTTCTGTCAAAAATGTCAGGGGGTACTTGGCTGAGAAAATGTTTCAAAGGGGGTACATTACTGAAAGAAGTTTGAGAAGCACTGCTCTAATCGATAAGTTGACTTATTGCTTCAGCTCTACTTGTAAAGGTAAAGACTGCCCGATGTTCAGGTCAGAAGGTTAATACTTCCAACCGATATCGTGCATCAGCATGGGAAGCTGCAATAATGTACATCTTCTTTGGACAATTTTAACATTTGATATGGTTGACTGTCTTGTGAATTTTCAAGGTTTAATGCTTATTTTTTATTTCCCTCTCAGAGCTACGAGAGGACAACTGTCCACCCCCAACCTACCTGGTGGAGGGAGTGAAGGCTTTAATCAGCGCACTGAGGACGTGGTTGAAGAGAGAGGTGAGCGCCGGCCACACTGTTCTCACGCTCTTCTCCACAGAAACACACCTGCAGCTGAATAGCTCCAGTCCAGAGGGCTATTGTTACCCAGCCGGCTCCACTGTGTGTTCTTATCTCCTGGATGTGTGTGAGTGGCCAACAACAGGCTTCTTTCTGTTCACTTCTCCTGTCTGAATGTGGTCTGCTGTGTCTCTGCAGGTGACTGAGCCTTCCAGTGAGGTACCAGACAATATCAGGCCCAACCATCTCATTAAAGAGCTGACCAAGGAAATCCGCTACCTGGAGGTAAGAGCTGGAGCAAGGAGGGAAGGATATCGGAGAGGTTTAGACCTTTTAAACTTAATTATTTGTCTATGGCAATTCATCATACAAATAAAACTACAAGAGCTATCATTTTGTTTAAGTCAATGAGCAGCATTTCCTAATGCATCCAATCCAGTATACCCAATAGTTTAATGGTACCACTTATTAAAGTCAATGTAGAATGTAACCAAGGAACTTATATAAATATTGAATATGTACAAATATTAGTTTATATTCACTTTTAATTGCCATTATTAACTTCTTAACTGCTTAGTGATCTGTTTTGTTTGTTGGCCTTTGTTCCTTGACATAAAATACATCTTGCCAAAAATCCAACACACATCTGATTATGAGGCAACCTAACAAATTGAGTTTGGTCTTGCATGCAGTTCATGAACTTGTGAGCATGTACGTTTTGGATTTTGGTAAAACCTTGACTTCATTATGTGTAACGTACATCACTAGGAGGAACCAGTCAGCGGTAGCAAGCCAGTGAAACCTCAGGGAAGTGTGTGTGGAGTAGCATCTGGATCAAACGGCTGCCCGGCCACTCGCGCCCCACTGGAGAGGCTGGACCACGCCCGGCGGGCGAGGAGGGCGGCCCGGAGGCTGAGGGAGCAGCAGCGGCACGCCCCCAAGGTGCCCTCCAACCTGGACATCTTAGAGCGGCACACCAAGGAGGTGCTGAGGAGGCTGGAAGTGGGACCGCTGGAGGAGGTGAGCAGCTGCTGATATTTTCATTTCATTTCAAACCTTTATTTACCCAGGTGTATCCCATTGAGATCATTGATCACTTTTTCAAGGGAGACCTGCTCAAGTAGGTTCCACATGAAACATAAAACAACAGAACAACAAAAAGGACATCATACAGCATCATTACAGGGATTACAATTTACAATAACTATCCACATGAACAGGTGCCAACAGCTTCCGATTGGATATCATCTATCCTTGCTTTAAAAACATTTAGTGGCACCAGATTGCTCAGTTTCCATTTCAATTGCAGACTGTTCCAAGACAGAGGAGCTGCGCATCTGTGACGGGGTTCAAATTGGTGAGTCACTCATGTGATCCGCTCCGTCACAGCATCTAAAAGCTGTCTTCCCTAAGACAGTCCTAGCAGTTGGCACATTTAATAAAACCACAGCATGCGATCTCAGGCAGTAGCCACTTACAATTTTCCGTGAGATCAGGGAGCAGATATAAGATGGAAGTTTCCCTAACATGGCTTTGTATATAAAAATGTACCAGTGACTGAGCCTCCGTACAGTTAGTGAAAGCAAACCAGCCCTTGCATACAGGGTACAGTGATGGGTTAATGCTTTACAGTTTGTCACACATCTCAGCGCACTGTGATACGCAGCATCTAACTAGATCAGGCAATGGGCAGGTGCATTCATATACATCAGATCACCATAGTCCAGCACAGGTAAAAAGCTCACAGTGACTAGCCTTTTCCTGGCCTCAAGCGAGAAACAGGACTTGTTCCTGTAGAAGAAACCTAGCCTAACCCTCAGCTTTTTAAACAGGTTATTGACATGAAGTTTAAAAGTGAGACAATCATCAAGCCAGATACCAAGGTGTTTGTAACAGGTAACCACTTCTAGTTTTATTCCTTGCGTAGCTACAATATCTACAACAGGCTCTGGTGTCTTTTTAGCTTTAGAAAAGAGCATTACCTTGGTTTTCTCAACATTTAAAAGAAGCTTTAGTTCAGAGAGCTGAGTCTGAATAATGTTAAGAACTGTCCCACAGTGGCACTCATAAATCACGTCCTCAATTAAGCATTTATTTCCCCCCCATGTGAAACAAAAACGGAAGCTTGGTGCAAATGCTCTCTAAGTGTATTAAGATTAAAGTCAGTATTTTTCTTTTCTTTTTAAATAAGTGTTTAATACAGGCAAAATAATACACATCACAAACACAACAATATGATTAATGAACAATATAGCCTCACAAAAAGATAAAAAAACAACACAAACATAACAAGAGACAAACAAAGTAAGGAGGATCCTTTCAGGAACTACAAGGTATTTAGTGTTCTCCCATGTAAAGTTGTTTTTAGTTACTGTATCCTTAGTATAAACAAAATAGTTTCCATGATGTTAAAATAAAAATACAGTCTATTGACTGATGCTGGTCTGTTCTCCTCAGGATGTGGCGTTCTGTGCCAAGGTTCGTGGGAAGCTGAATAAAGTATCGACGGCATCAGCCGCTGCTGCTGCCGAGTCTCTAGAGGACAACCACCACCTACGGCTGATGCTCGTCAACGGAAGAATCATCAGGTGAGAGCTCGCAGCCCTTTGGTCTACACATCAATGTTGGTGCTACTTGGTCATTTAGGCTCAGTGGTCATTTTCTCAGAAAAATATGGACCTTTCTGTGCAGAGGGGAAAGATCATCCCCTCTGTTTTTACAAACCTGTCCACCCCAGAAAATAGAGAAAAACATAACAGACACTAGAGTGAGAGAGACATAACAATAGCAACCTTAAATGAATCTGCCTTCATGCAGGGAAATAAAACGGGAATTTATTTGATACCCAATAGTGTTTCATTTAAATAACAATAGAGATTTTAACAAAGTTTTGATGCCATGATTCTCTCTAATCTGGAATTCTACAGTCCAGATGATCTATATTTTATGTGGAAATTACATTTTATTTCCTAATTTTTCAAACGTGGATTTTGTGTGCAGAGACTTGAGGCAGCCAGCCAGCAACCCAGTGAGGACGGAGGCCGAGTGCTCATCGGGCAGCCCACCAAAGAGTTGTACGGACGTGAAGTCTGAAAGGACAGAGGACAGCGGAGAGCAGCCCAGCACAGTCGGGAAACCCACGTTCCTCAGTAAGTCACTAGAAGCTATTGTTAGTCATATCATTATGATTAAACTCAAATCTTATTGTGTTTATTGTCAAACGCTCATGGTGTGTTCCTGTGTTTCCCAGGTGGTCTGGAGAGGATGAAGACTGAACTCAGGGAAGAAGTGTCAGGACACTCCAGTGTGTCAGACGCAGATTCAGACAGTGACTCTCCCACAGAGGTAAATACTGAGAACAGCATCCCATGTCATATTCAGAATCATTTGGTTGTTAGCCGTCTTCTAGCTTCATTGTGTGTCACTGTCACTTAATGTTGTTTTGTTGACTAAATGTTTTATTCCTTCAAAGGTTCTACATTATTATTTGTTTACATTATTTACTGGTTTATTGATCAGAGGCAGTGCACCTGACATTGCTGTAAATGCACGTTGTTTACATACTTAATAAATTCCGACATTTCTGCAGCATAAAGCATCGTCGTCTTCGTCATCCTCCTCTTCTGATGAGGATTCAGGGAGTTCCCAGGAGGAAGAGGAGGGTGAGAGGGGCTCAGGGCACACCATAGAGCTGGACCAGTCTGGCCACAAACTCAGGCACAAACACAAACCACTCAAACGGTGAGAAACACTTTATCAACGTGCAAAGATATCGTCATTCATTCAATGGGTTGAATATGCATATTATCTTTTAAATGCAATACTCGTGTTTTTTCATATTACTGATCAAATGGGCTACATCAAATATTCAAAGTGACACTCATGACTGAAAAAAGCATTGAAGGAGCCTCTAGTGTACATGGTGGTATCATGGCAACACTCAAAGCAAAGCAATGACAGGTATTAACTAATGATGTCCTGTGTGCTCCTTGCAGAGAACGTCCTACCTCACCCAGCACAGAAGAGGCCATTCAGGGGATGCTGTCTATGGCCGGGCTGCTGTGCTCCTCCGAGCCAGAGAAGGTGGCCTCCTCCCAGGAGTCCTGGTGGTCCGGCTCCAGCCAGGGCTCGCCTCTGGAGCGGAGGGAGGAGGCGCAGCACCGCCTGCAGGGAGACCAGAGCCCCATGGACAGCCAGGGCAACAGCAGTGAAGCCTGGGACAATCAGGGGCTCCCCAGCCCACTCAGCAGGGGCCACAGCGGCAGCCCAGAGACAGAATACCAGTACTGTGACCCCTCCATGTCCCCACCACTGCACCCCTCCAAGAGGCACGCACCCAACCCCCCACCCATCAGCAATCAGGCCACGAAAGGTTTGGAAATCAGATTTTTCACTTCACCAAGCTTTGGAAAGACCAGAGTTTGACCTTTTTGAAAGGTTGTTGTAACTTAAATGGGTTAGGGGTAGTTTCTCTGTGTGCACCTTAAATCTGAGTTCAACACGGGTGTGCATTTGCATGATTTGTGTGTCTAAAGTACTTTTAAAGCCTATGCTACTACAACATGTAACCAACACAAGTGTGATGTGGTTACTTCAGTGACATAAGACACATTTATTCATATTTATTTGCATTTTTCATTTAAAATCGCTTTACTTGCTACTCAGCTTTTTGTTGAATAATTATAAAACATCTGTAGGGAACATAAATAAACTGAATAGAAAGTTAATATGTTTGAGAGGAATGGACAGCAGCGTTGATGTAGAACGAATTGTACGTAAACATTTGTCAGATAACCATCATATTGATCAAATCAATGTATCATGCATACATGACCTTATTCCTTTGGAAATCAAATAAGACATACATGTGTCCAACCATTTTTAGTATAGGAAACACTGAAACTAACCTTTAGTAATAATTATAGTTATTTATGTTTCATTTGAATGCTGTTGTCCTTCTTTCAGGCAAAAGGCCCAAAAAAGGAATGGCCACAGCCAAGCAGAGACTGGGGAAGATTCTGAAACTCAACCAACACAATCGTGTGTTTGTGTAACAGTCCAAATCTCCAAACGCAAAGAGATGCGTGGGGATGTGTTCTTTGGTGTATTTGTTACCAGACACTCTTGTGCTTCAGAAAAGGAGGAAAAAAACCATACACACTGCCCCTTTTGACCCGTAGAACACGCTCACTGTGCATGCTAAGGAGACAGGGTATTGGATTTGAAAAAAGCAAGTGCACGACTTCACCACAAGCACACTAAAAACAAAACAGAAAGGAGCTACGGGAAGCGGAGAGGGACAAGCATGTTGCGAGATGTTCTGCTGCAGGGAAAGGTGGACCGAGGCTCCTGTGGGCATTCAAATGGACCGGAGAGGTGTCGGAGGTCTACCTATCAAAAACGCTTGCTTTGCCAGGGAGCAGCTTCTGATGCATCATCTGGATCATATTTTAGTATTTCTCTCTGCTGACCATCCCCCAAGCCCCCCCCCTCCTCCGCACAACCTTCACTTGCTTCATGGCTTTCTGTGAAAGGAGCAGATGAAACCGAGCTGCATTTTTCGAGCAGGGTCTTTTTTTCTGAGGTGCTAAGGAGGATGTGGTGAACAGAAATTTCAAAATGGTGCTTCTTGTTTGTACTTTTCTCAACTCATGCTTGTCTCTTCCGGCCTACACCTCCCTCCCCCCTTCCCCCCCTTTATCTCAATCACACCAGCAATAATGACTTTGAGGAGAGAGTGAGAGGCAGCACTTTGGAGCATCCTTCTATTTGGTGCAAACTGTACTCTCAAATGTGCACTATGTTTGATATTTAAAGAGTCCGTTTCTAAGCAATGGTGGCTTAAGGCAAGATGCCTCTCTGAATTTGTTTTAAAAATAGGAATTACGAGTATTTCGCTCGGTCTAAAAAACCGAGGACTCGTATGATATCCTGCTTAATTTATTTCTTGTTTTATCTATGTTGATTTTTTATGTGTTATCGATTCTGAATGATGTATTTATTAATTGAAAGAGATAATGATTTTATTATATTTCAACCCTAAAGCCTCAGTAATTCTGAGGGTTTTTCTTCTTTATAGGGTATTTTTTTTTGTCTTTAACAAACTTTCTGTAAATGTGGATGTTTTAGACTTCATGTGATCATCATCTGTTGAGTAGCAATTGACCTACTAAATCTTTGAATAGCTTCTATTCTTTACCCCCGTCCCTCCAGTTGAATAGATGTGTTCTTGTCTGTCTGCTTTCTCCCTGTAGCCAGAGGTGTTGGGCTATGTGCAAACAGAAACCACGTTAGGTCGAAAAATGTCAACTTTCATTATAATTACATCTGAGCTTTTTCAACTAGTGCCGGTTATCTTTTTAGCAAAAAAACAAAACAAGTATTCTGAGCCACTGTGGTCGATGCATTAAGAAGGGAACTTCTATGGGATGAGTGAATTTTTTTTTTTTTAAATACCAGTGCTGATGTTCGATGTGTGTTTTGCTCGGGGTGCGCAGTTCTTCACTCTCAGGGAATGATGCCATGGACATAACCTTCGATTAACCAGTAGCCTCGTCGTGGACGCAGACAGGATGTTCTCAGCACTCACTCAAGACTTTAAAGGTTCACCTCCTGCTTCAGAGCTGCTGAGGTTTGTTTTTTCATTGCGCAACAAATCATTTCATGGTTTTCATGTTGTAAAGATAAGCCGTCAGTCATTGTACTTTTTTTAAGCAAGCTTTTACAACTTATGTTAACATAATTTTGGTATTGTCCTTCACTGCTTCCTTACACACTTTCAGCTCAGTGTTATTGGGTTGACTCTAAAACATCCATGCTAACTGGCAGTCTCCCAGAGACTTTGAAAGCTTTGCTTGTAGTACACATGACCTGTGAGGGACTGTGATCAATCTACCTGCCCCGACGAGGTGTTTCACAATGAACCAACCTAAAAGAATGAGTGTTCATCACATTGCCAGACTGATCTCCTCCTTTTTCTTACACTACACTTTAATATTTGAACTCTTTGCATGTCAAGTCATTGAAAACAAGAGCTGGCCCGCAGGCAGGGCTTGTAATAAGCTGTAGTATTCATACAGAGTCTTTGTTTCGTATGCAGCTCTCGGCATTTGTGAAATGTGCGTTGGTTTTTGCAAAAAAAATTAAAGTTTTAAACTTCTTATGATTTAAAATATACAAACACTGGCTAACTGACACTGTTAATGCATTGCATTTTGTTTCTGCATTTCAAAAAATTGCGTGTAAATAAAACTAATGAAATAACATGCTTGTCTTTTTTGTCAAGCCCAGCTCATGTTCACGTTGGTTATTGTAAAAAAGGCAACACTTTACATATTTAAAGATCTTTTTATTAGTTTATTTACAGAACTGACTTCCGGGATATCCAGAAGATTTAGACTTGCCCCGCAGCTAGAATTCCTCATTGTGACCTTGAAAAGAAACGGAAGATTTACTACAGTGGACCAAAACAAATGCCATCCAGTTGTTTTCTAATACAACAGTTCTGCAACAAGTTATGATATTCAGTTTCAGTGCCCCATTGCTATACATAGGGTACACATTAATAAAAACATCTGTCCATCTTAAAGAGCTGTGCATTAATTGACCGAGTCTCTTGTAATAAGACAGCGATAATCTGGTTGAAAAAGACTGAGTTTATGGCTAAATTTAACATCAAGTTCAAATGAAACACCTAGTAGTTCATATTTAAAAAGACATTTGACAGCATCGTAAATTATGAAGACTCAGATTTCCCTCCTGTGTTCTGGTCTTCTGGCAGTGAATTACATACTGTATAAAAAAAGCTGGTTGTCCTGATTTGTTAGCATACCTTTGTCCGTTTTAAGCAAATGAAACAGAAGAAATCATCTTATTCTTCGTCATCTGGTGGGATTCCAAGCTCCTCATCTGTCCATTCAGAGGCCTCAGGCCAGGGGAAGTGACCCTATGAAGAGCGAAGAACCTTCACTTAACGTTTGCATTTCAAATTAAGGTCAGTGGACCTTTGCTATAACAGTCTTTCCATTTCGACTCCTGACTTATAATAAAGATTCCAACAAATAGTTAAACATAACTGCATTTCCATTTATTTCATACTGGACATTGTAATTTAGTCCAACAACATAATCTCATATTCCACCTAGACTTCCACCTGCAGCAGAGGGCCATGCTCATGCAGGGACTTGCAGGGAGTTGATGGTAATGTATGTTTACTTTCATGCTCCGTTTTGGGGCTGGATACTGTATAATTAAAGTTTACTGAAGCAGGATTACTTACAAAGACCATATCAGGGTCGTGCCAGCTGTGCCAGAGGATCCAGAACCACATGGCACCGCTGAGCAGCTCGGACTCCAAAATATGTTTCTTCGATATTATGGGGAACTGCCTGTACCGTGGCACTATAGTCGGTGTGCCGCTACCACTAGAACATTAAAAGCACAACAAAATACACTTAAAATCAATATTACATAGTATACAGGATAACATTTACGATACTTTTCTAAGTTTTAACGACAAATCAACGCTTTTAATTAACGTTTGTGTACGCAGGTCGTTTGGCTAATAGCTGCTAGTGGGTTTGACGATACTTACTTTCTGATCGTTATCCTCTGTGTACCGCGTCTCAGGAGCTGAGATCCTGTGCGAAGGACTCCCAACGCCCTTCCAAAAGAAGCCATGGTTGCTAATTTACCCGCAACCAGCCCTCTGTTGGTTATTTTTGTACGATTTGACCAGCTAGCCACTGTCTGTCTCTCCGAGGAGTCACCTTCTCCCTTGTCAATAAATGACCTCCTAACAACGACGGCTGTGATTGGACAGAGTGTTCACGTCCGGTGTTCCTGTACGCTAATTGGTTGAGTGAAAATACCGTTTTAAAGAGACAGCGCCCTCTTCTGTTCTCCTGTGATGAGGACTCTCCCTTTGAGTTCAACCAGAGCCGTATAATAATTAATGTATTCATATATAATAAAGTATTTATACGGCTCTGAGTTCAACTGTTTGATAACTTTTGTGCATAGTATTTTACTTTTAAATAAAAATAACGTCACTTGTACATATGTGCAACTTTAGATAGACATAAAGACACTTGTATGCTTTACTCCACTACCCTTTCCTGACAGCTTCAGTTACTATTCAGGAAACATTTTTCTACCCTCTGATTTATTGTCATGGTTTCAGAGTGTACAGTGCATAATTACCTTATCCCTACAAGAGAAACTTTCACTTTTTTAATCTTGACTTAGAAATACGAGATGTTTACCTATTTTTGTAATATTGGGCTACCCTTACACATTTGTACCTCTATTGCATAAATTCATGGTAGTCAGAACATTATATTTTATCGACTTTCATTTATGTATGTATTTATCGACTTTCATTTATGTATCTATGCATTTAATAAAACCTGCTCTAAATACACGACATCGGGAATGCTATCTCTGCAGAGCAGGGACGCAAATCCTGTTAATAAGAATTAAATTACAGAGTTTTTAAATGAATGCGGGGGGAGTCAATGGCTCATACATGTGTCAAATTTCCCTGCATTGCCCACTAGATGGGGTCAAAAGCTAAGCTGGTAAAATGAAACTCTACCGGATGCTGTACTGTTTTTGTGTTGTACACGTTTGTACCTTTATATATAGTCTATGGTTTGTACACGGCATGGCAAGGTTTATGGTCTTTGCGAGAAGCATGGGGCCGTTTAATGTATTTGTGAAAAGTGGCAAAGGATAATGAAGTGCTTATGCAAGTTATCTAGAATGTGAAGATCACCACAATTTAATAAAACGTTAAGGGTTTGCTTTCCGTCACATCTACATGGCCAAACATGGGGTTACCACAAACACATGTTAAAACATATGCATCGGGTCACTTCTTGGACTGCGGTTGTGGTTGAACATTGTTTATAAAGCAAGTACTTCTCAGGATATGAAAACAGGAAATAATAACATTGTGGCGAGAACGCGCACGGCGCCGCCGCCCATGAGTGCTCGACCCTGCGTGCACTCAAAGAAAGAAATCTTCGACGCCATCTTGTTTCCAGTCGACAACGATAACAAATCCCGTCCAACAACAGGAAGTCTCTTTTTTATCGCCCGCGGCGAGTAGTCAATGTCCACTGCATGGGCAATATAAGTATATTCATGTCGACCACTCTATGTTGTACCCACCAAAAGCCCCTATTTAAAAATAACTCCACGCACAGTAGCCTACGTTGTTACCATAGGTTGTTACCTAATGGCGCCTGGTCTCTCCGGTTGCGCCCCTCTCCCCTCACAGCTCAAAGCCCGCCCACAAATACTAGCTGCATGATGTCATCGGAAACCAACCATTTCCTTTTCTTTCTTTTTTTTAAATTAACCATTTATTTGTGATCAATGGTTAACTTCCCACCATCTGTGCGTCTTTATCTTAAATTGAAATAGGGAATATCATCTTCAAACCGAAAACGCGATGGGCACAACAAGGGTCAAGGATAAATGTTATCCTCTCCGAAACCGACAGTGATATTTTTTTCATCGATGCATCCTCCAGAGCCGAAACATCTCCGTTTAGAAGCGGGTGATAATGGCTCGAACGGGCCATGTTTTACCTCCGTCGTCCCCTAAGTTTATTTCAAACAACCCGACTGCCCGTGCACCAGCAGTTGCAGCGGTCCTGCACAACTGCGCATGCGCGGGGGGATGCGGTTTCGGTGGGGGAGGGTCAATAATAAATGGGAACGATGAGAACATCCTCTCTCAACATATGATGTCAAAGGGATTTCTCCCGATATATTTCTGGAGATTCAACAGTAACGCGACTTACCACAACAATACACCTGTCTGAAACATTGCTATAATTATTAGTTGTCAACAATTCCAGCTTACGTTTAGTTAAATGCTTGTTAAATAAATCAAAAGGGTTACAAGTACATTATAGAGTTACTTACTGATGGTTGCATTAAACAGACAACATATACTTAATATTTTACATTTTGATAACACAGTAAATTCAAACGTTTGCAAGCCTAATACATGAGTTATGTAAGTCTGTTTATCCCACCTTGTTATTTGCACTTGCATGGTGTGAATAGCACCAACAAATAGGCTTAGTGTGTGTGGTTTATGACATGTTCAATAATTTCGTAGCCCTGTATGGTATGTTTTCTTTGTCCTTGGTATAATTGTATTGGTCAGTGTTTCATGGGCTACCCTTTCCTAGCATCAGCTCAATATACAACATGCTTCTCTTGTGTAAGGGGTTACATAACAGCTTAGTCTCCTCCTGCATTGGGTAGCGGATTTACGTGATCCTTTTCAGCTAAGGCAGTGGGAAATCAAGGATTCGTGTTCAAAACAACCACATTTTTAATGTTGTAAACTTAGATAAGTTTCAATTATTCACATGGCAGAATTAATAAACATCTACTGTGGCCATCTCAGTCCAATTGCCATCATAGCCTGTTTGATAATGGACACACAAACAGACATAAACGCAATGAATCAAAAGCATTGCAGTGAATACAAAAATATAAACTGCGGCTCCGTTTTGTTAAAGCATTATTACCCCTTTCTCCCTGAGACGAAGAAGAGGAAACAGTAGAGGAAACAGTAAATTCAAACAAAACCTCCTGATTGAAAACATCCCCACATCTGACTTCACTTTCATCAGATGATCGTGAAGATTACAAGGGAATTCATCTTTACACATCACATTGCACTCTAAGATTTCTATAAAGTTGTTTTTGATTAAATCCTAAAGAACGTCATCAAGTTTAATATCACTTAAATTATTTATTATGCTAAGGTCCCAATTTACTTCTAATCCTTGACGTTCTGTCCGTTTGACAAGCATTTTCTAAAGATTGCGGGCGGCACAATGTAAATCCAGAGACAGAAATAGCAGTCTTGAGGAATCACAGTCGTGTACGCGCATAGAGCACGGTCACGTTGCCCCTGTGAAATTGGAAGGGTAACCCCGCAGTATGTGGAGGCGGAGCCCGGGTTTAGCGATGGGCAAGGAGGGGGGCTCGTGGGGGAGGCGGAGTCTCGGCAGTCCTGGCAAGGCCGCCATTTTTGCAAAGGGAAAAGAGACTGGTTTGAGGGGATCTAATTTCTAAAAGTCGCCGATGACTAGGGTGCAGTTTTAACGGTTTTGAATAGATTTCGAGTCATATTTGGGTCATCTCGTAGAACAAGGAAGCCAGGGATTTTTCACAGCAAAAAACTCTTTAGACGACAAGTTTATATACAAACATTTTAAAGCTTTGCTAAGGATC